CGAAGGCCTCACATGCGTCCCCGCCGCCAAATTAGGCACACTCCAAAAACGGTTCGTGGCCCCATGATGAGCTCCACCGCGAAGGCCCCAGTGGGTGTGATCACATGCGTCCCCGCCGCCAATTTCGACACAACCCTCACATGTTTCGCAGCCCCACAGGGAGTTCCACCGACGGCCCTAGTGGCTGTGATCACATGCGTCCCCGCCGTCAATTTCGGCACAACATGTTTCGTGGCCCACATGGTGAGCTCCACCGCGAAGGCCCCAGTGGCTGTGATCACATGCGTCCCCGCCACCCATGTTTACGCGCCTGTTGGCCCCATAGGGAGTCCCACCGAAAACACCCGTGGCTGTTATCACATGCGCCCCCGCCGCCAATTTCGGCACACCCCAAAAGCGCTTCGTGGCCCAATGGTGAGCTCCACCGAAGGCCCCTGTGGCTGTCATCACACGCGCCCCCGCCGCCAATTTCGGCACAGCCCTCACACTTTTCGCGGCCCCACAACGAGTTCCACCGAAGGCCCCAGTGGCTGTGATCATCTGCGCCACCGCCGCCAATTTAGGCACACCCCAAACACGTTTCGTGGCCCCATGGTGAGCTCCATCGCGAAGGCCCCAGTGGCTGTGATCACAGGCGTCCCCGCCACCCATGTCGGCACACCCCTCACGCGCTTGGTGGCCCCATAGGGAGTCCCACCGAAGGCCCCTGTGGCTGTGATCACGTGCGTTCCCGCCGCCAATTTCACCACACCCCGAACACGTTTCGGGGCCCAATGGTGAGCTCCACCGAAGGCCCTTGCGGCTGTGATCACACGCGCCCCCGCCGCCAATTTCGGCACAACCCTCACATGTTTTGTGGCCCTACAGGGAGTTCCACCGACGGCCCTAGTGGCTGTGATCACATGCGTCCCCGCCGTCAATTTCGGCACACCCCGAACACTTTTCGTGGCCCCATATGGAGCTCCACCGAAGGCCCCTGTGGCTGTGATCACACGCGCCCGCGCCGCCCATGTCGGCACAACCCTCACACGTTTCGCGGCCCCACAGGGAGTCCCACCGAAGGCCCCAGTGGCGGTGATCATGCGTCCCCGCCGCCAATTTCGGCACACCCCAAAAACGGTTCGTGGTCCCATGGTGAGCTCCACCGCGAAGGCCCCAGTGGCTGTGATCACATGAGTTCCCGCCACCCATGTCGGCACACCCCTCACGCGCTTGGTGGCCGCATGGGGAGCCCCACCGAAGGCCCCACTGGCTGTGATTACACACGTCTACGCCGCCAATTTCGGCACACCGCAAACACGCTTCGTGGCCTCATAGGAAGTCCCACCGAAGGCCCAGTGGCTGTGATCACATACCCATCACACGGTTTGTTACCCCATGGGGAGCTCCACCGAAGGTCCCAGCGGTTGTGATCACATATGTCCCCACCACCCTTGTCGGCACACCCCTCACACGCTTCGTAGCTTCATAGGGAGTTCAGCTGAAGGCCCCAGTGGCTGTGATCACATGCGTCCCCGCCACCTATTTCGGCACACCCCTCAAACGCTTTGTGTCCCCATAGGGTGCTCCACCGAAGAGAATACGCACCTTTGCGGTAGTTACAATTGCATATGGCTGGGATCTTCGCCAGGCTATTGTTGGTTTTCGCTGCATCACACCTGTTAGTTCCACATCCTAAGAGAACAGGTGCAACAAGCATTGGTAACAGATCTCATGATGTAGGAATCTCACCTGCCAGGGCATTGGGTTCAAGATCTCCACGGGTAAGGGTCTTAGGGGAACTCACACGCCTGGAGGCCTCAAGGGGTTCGGTGGACCACGAGTGGTTCGCTTCAAATAAGCACTTACGGTGTGTGGGACCTCACGGACCCGGCCTGCAATTGCGGCCAGGGTTTTCTGGACAAGGTGATGAGCGGCGAGTGGGTCCCCGCGTGCGGCAGCCGTTCAAATGTGACTGAATGGGAAGTTGTGGTTGAGGTCGTGGCAAATGGGCAGGATGCCAATGGGTATTTCGAGGTTGCCGCAGTTATGGCCAGCTCCGGTAGTTCTGGCGCCAGCGATCTGGCGCAAAGCTTTTCGGCGAAGGGCCTCGCTCTTGAGGTGGAGTCCATGGTCATGGAGGCACCAGAGCTCAAGATTGTCACACACACAGGTGCGACAGTGAGTGTGACGGCTACTCATACCACCACCCTTTCGAGCACCAGCCCGACGAGTTACCCAGGGAGCTCCATTGCCGTGACCAGTGCCAGTGAGACCACCGAGAGCACAACCGAAATCTCCAACACATTGACCGTGACGGGCACAGCCACCACCACAGCGACTAGTGCCAGCGAAATCAGCATCTCCGAAAGCTCCACCCTCACTATGACCGCCACTGGCAGCAGTGCGACTAGCACTATTGAGAGCTTCACCATAAAGACCAGTACCACCGCGACAACCACCACCACCCTGACTACGACCACTACACTCACTTCGGCCACCGCAATCATCATTACGACCTCCAGCACAAGTGCAACTAGGACCATTGGAAGCTCCACTCCAACAACCAGCGTCACTGCGACCATCACTACCGCCACCCTGACCACGACCACCACCCTCACCTCGGCCTCCGCCACCATCACTGCGACCACCACCACCAGCACCAGTGCAACGAGCTCCAGTGCAACTAGCACCACTGAGAGCTTCACCACAACGACCAGCGCCACCGCGACAACCACCACCACCCTGACTACGACCACTACACTCACTTCGGCCACCGCAATCATCGTTACGACCTCCAGCACAAGTGCAGTTAGGACCATTGGAAGCTCCACTCCAACAACCAGCGTCACTGCGACCATCACCACCGCCACCCTGACCACGACTACCACCCTCACCTCGGCCTTCGCCACCCTCACTGCAACCACCAGCACCAGCACAAGTGCAACTAGCACCAGTGCAACTAGCACTACTGAGAGCTTCACCACAATGATCAGTTCCACCGCGACAACCACCACCACCCTGACTACGACCACTACACTCACTTCGGCCACCGCAATCGTCATTACGACCTCCAGCACAAGTGCAACTAGGACCACGAGAAGCTTCTCTCCAACAACCAGCGTCACTGCGACCATCACCACCGCCACCCTGACCACGACCACCACCCTCACCTCGGCCTCCGCCACCCCCACTGCAACCACCAGCACCAGCACAAGTGCAACTAGCACCAGTGCAACTAGCACCAGTGCAACTAGCACTACTGAGAGCTTCACCACAATGAACAGTGCCACCGCGACAACCACCACCACCCTGACTACGACCACGACACTCACTTCGGCCACCACCATCATCATTACGTTCTCCAGCACAAGTGCAACTAGGACCACGAGAAGCTTCTCTCCAACAACCAGCGTCACTGCGACCATCACCACCGCCACCCTGACCACGACCACCACCCTCACCTCTGCCTCCGCCACCCTCACTGCGACCACCACCAGCACCAGTGCAACGAGCACCAGTGCGACTAGCACTACTGAGAGCTTCACCACAATGACAAGCGCCACCAAGACAACCACCACCACTCGGACTACGACCACTACATTCACTTCGGCCACCGCCAGCATCATTACGGCCTCCAGCACAAGTGCAACTAGGACCATTGGAAGCTCCATTCCAACAACCAGCGTCACTGCGACCATCACCACCGCCACCCTGACCGCGACCACCACCCTCACCTCGGCCTCCGCCACCATCACTGCAACCACCAGCACCAGCACCATTGCAACCAGCACCAGTGCAACTAGCACTACTGCGACTTCCACCACAATGACCAGCGCCACCGCGACAACCACCACCACCCTGACTACGACCACTACACTCACTTCGGCCACCGCCACCATCATTACGACCTCCAGCACAAGTGCAACTAGGACCATTGGAAACTCCATCCCAACAACCAGCGTCACTGCGACCATCACTGCCGCCACCCTGACCACGTCCACCACCCTCACCTCGGCCTCAGCTACCCTCACTACGACCACCACCAGGACCAGTGCAACTAGGACCACTCGAAGCTCCACTAAGACGACCAGCGCCACTGCGACTTCCACTACAATTACCACCCCCACTTCTACCACCTCCCTCACTTTTACCACCGCCACCCTCACTTCGACCACCGTCCTCACTGCGACCGAGACCACCTCCCGCACTTCGACCACCGCCACCCTCACTACAACCGCCACCCTCACTACGACCGCCACTAGCAACAGTGCAACTAACACTACTGAAAGCCTTTCCACAGTGACCAGCGCCACTGCGACCATCACTGCCTCTCTGACTATGAATACTACCCGCACCAGTGCAACTAGGACCACTGCGACTTCAACCACAAGCGGCACCTCGACGACGAGCACATCCGTGACAGCGAGCAGCAGCACAACACGGACACGCACGTCAGGGTCATTCAGCATTACGAGAAGCAGTACCAGCACGTTAACCAGCACTGCCACACAGCTGACCACGACGGCATCGTCAACGAGCAGCACGAGCGATACAGGCAGCTCCACTACAGCAACTAGCAGCAGCACAACAGCAACCAGCTCCAGTGCAACCAGTACCTCCGAAACGTCGATATCAGCAACCACCACCAGTGCAACTACCACCACTGACACCTCCACTACAACGACCGCCACGACCACCACGACCCCATTGTTCGTCGTCGGCAGCGAACTGTCATTCGGGAGCAGTGGGAATTCGTCGCAGGTGGAAGCCGCATCGACCGCCCACTTCCTAAAGATGTTCAAGTGCGACCCGTCGCAGTTCCTTCTCACGGTCTCCAAAAGCGGTCGGCGGGCTCATGCGCAGAGGTCGTTGACGAGCGCAGCAAACGTTACCGATAACGATACGTGGGAAGTCGTGTTTGAGGTCGTTGCGCCCCAGCAGGAGGCAGAATCGTATCTTGAGATCGCCCAGGAGATGTCCACTAATCTCTCCAACTCCAGCTCGGGCGCCGATGCATTGGCCAAGAGTTTTGTAGACGAAGGTCTTGTGCTCGACGAGGACTCCGTGGACATGGCCGATCCAGATATCAAGGTCGTCACTGTAACGATGACGACTGTGAGTGTCACAGAGACTTCCGTCACCATGACGAGCACAGGGACTAGTACCACCATTTCTAGCACCACAAGCGCCAGTGCGACCAGCATCTCCGAGAGCTCGACTACCAGCCTCAGCAGTTTCAGTCCAACTAGCACCTCTGTAAGTTCCAGTACGAGTATCACGGTCACGAGCAGTTCGGACACCTCTGCAACACACACGAGTGCGACTTCAAGCAGTACGGTTTCGAGTGGAACGCAGTCGATCAGCACGACGACGATGAGCACGAGTGCGACGTCAGGCAGTACGGTTTCGAGTGGAACGCAGTCGACCAGCGCGACGACGATGAGCACGAGTGCAAGCAGTTCCACAACGCTGACAGCCACATCTGGGTCATTCAGCAACGCTGAAAGCAGTAGCAAGACGTCGTCGTTGACAACTCCGTTGGCTACTACAAGCGGTACCAGCAGCACGACGATATTGGCGACAACTCGGACTTCCAGTAAGACGTTCACTAACAGCATGTCTGCGACAAGCCGCAGTGCGAGCTCGAGCAGCACGGCCACGGGCAGTACGGAAACGGACACGTCGATGACGGCGAGCACCCCATCCCTCACAGGTACAACCATCATCTCGAATACAGATACCTCGAGTACGAAGTCTACCCTCACCAGCACAGTCAGCATCTCCGCGACGTCGACGACATCGATTTCAACCGAGGCGGCTACCTCGGGTACAAGCCTTACACCCACAGGCACGCTCAGTATCTCCACGACGTTGACGGCATCGGCTTCTACCAAGACAGCTACCTCGGATAGAACCTTCACCGCCACAAGAACAGGCAGCACCTCGACACTGTCGATGACAACGTCGCCGACCACGACCACCATCAGCGTGTCTGTCTCGTCGCTGGCGTCTGCAACGGCAGCGGCGACCGCGACAGTCGCCGCAGACGCCTACGTGGTGCGGCAGACGCTGTCCTTCTCCAGCACCGGCACGCAGGCCGAGGTGCGCGAGGCCGTCGCGGAGGTGCTGCTCGCCCTCCTGGGCGTCGCGAGCGACGTGCTCGCGGTCTCGGTGTCCGCGGCGCCGGCCCGGCGCCTCGCCGCCGGCGTGCCGGCGGCGCGGGCGCCCGCGCGGCGGCTGGCGGCCCCCACGGCGTGGCAGGCTCGGAGCGTGAATTACCTACAGTCGGGGCCCTGAAGAAGGAACCCTTTTCGTTGGGGAGGGGCTCCGTGTTCCTTAAGTGTTTCACAGCTTGCCTCAGGTTTTCCTCAGGTTTTCGATACGAAATCGAAGTTCAACTGATGGAAAAAAAGGGGCCTCGTTCCTTTTTTAGGGTTCCTTAGGTCAACGCCCCGACTGTACCCCGCTTTCGTTTCCAGGCAAAACCAAGCCATGCCACGCGCCTCCTCGTCAAGCGGCCTGACCAGTACAGGCCGTCGTTTGGCATCGTTTGGCATCTCTTGGAAGCGAGGGTGGTCAGAAGCGAGGTAGGTTTGTTTTCCACCTGCAGGCGGACTACGAGGTCGTGGCGGACCACGGCACCGCGTCGCGGGTCGCGCAGGCGGCCAGGGCGATGGGCGGCTCCGACGGGACGCTGGCACGGGTGCCAGGGGCAGCGGTTCGGTAGAGCAAGTCGTGGGGGCCTCGTGTGCCCTGGCAGTTGCGCCTTCGGCGTCGACCGGCGTCTGGGAGTCGAGGAGACAGCGCCGGTGCAGCGTCGGTTGGCGTCGAGAAGCGTCGATTGAGCGGTCAGCGTCGATTCAGCGTCGATTCGCAGGAGCCGACAAGATGGTATGCGAGGCTCCCATGAGTTGCCACCGAACGTTGGGGGGGTGGGGGGATCGGCTCGAGGGTAACGCAACAGGGGGGGAGCGAGATTCTCGAGGTCCGAGGGTTTCGCGCGTTCTCTGCGGTACCCAGCGGTTGTTTCCAGCCTCGGGGTGCTCTCCAGTAGCTGCGGCTCGCCGAAGGCGCTTCCGGGGGGGCTTAAGTGCCCAGAGGTCGTCCCGCGCGGCCAGAGCAGAACAGTTTACTTGGTATCGCTCGGACGTGTGCGTGTTTGCGTCGGCGAGGACCATCGAGGAGCATCCTGGAGCATCGTGCGAAAACTGTACGCACGAAACCGAAAAGTGCACGGGGAATGGACGTCCGAGCGATGGCGAGTTTAGTGGCCTGGCGAGGAGGGGCAACGCCAGGGGGGTAAAAGGCTCCGACGGGGGCACGCGTCTACCCCCAATCGCCCCTTCATCGACCTCTGGAGATTTGACGCTCCAAAGATTTATCCTGGTGAGGGAGCCGGCCATCCGCAGTTGTGAGTACCGTCGTTTCGGGTGTCGTTGTGGAGGATGATCAATGGAGAGGAAGCATGTTGCCAAATACTTTCCAGATGTCTGAAACATGTGTTAAACATGTCTAAAG